GGAATATTAAAACGTTTGTAGAAACTTCATAACGTCGCCGTCTCTTTTGCTTTAGACTCTGCCGCTCCACACGGGCCTAATTATTTATCTTCGAAATATTTTCGGCTTCTGCCACCCGTATCTACGGTCGGAAGGAGTTTGTGTGGCCCGTCTGTAGCCCGTCGATAGTTTCTGGCCGTGTTTCAAAACTTACTCGATCTAACTCTATGGTAAAGGTGGTTATCGAAAACCTATTCGCGTCCAGCGTTTCTCTATTTTTGTTGTCACGTGACAGAATCTGCCAGGGTAACTCGGATCCATTCGAGTAGGTTTGGAACGCAGCCTCGGTGTGTCGCTAGTGTCGCGCTCCTGTACGCTATGCGCCGTTTAGTTGCTGCGCTCCGAGTATGAAACTCGGAGCGTCAGAGTAGGAGTAAAGGAGCGCCGACTTAACGCACCCACTGGCAGCGCGGCGTATCGAGACCCTCTCCCTCTCCATCCACGAAGTTCCGATGACAATTTAGGCCTAGAGACGCGTACCGACAAGCACACGCACGGCGACGGCCCGCCGGGTACCAAGTTAATCAAACGCCTGCCGCCCGCGCGTTCCACCGCTCATTAAAAAAAAAAAAAAAGAAATCAGAGTATTTTGCCGCAGAAAGTTACTTCCGCCGTTTTAGCAAAATAAACGACTACGGTATCGATTTTGGCGTGCGCCATAACCACTACCGTAGTTGAAGCGGAGGGGTAGTGAGATCGGCGTCCCACACCGGCACCGAACGAGTTCACTCGCCCGCCAGTCGCTAGCTTTTGGGTGTACGCACTAACTATTGACACATATGCTGGATATCTACCACGTATACAGAATTAAAACGAAAGCAGCTTACCTTTAATCTTTAAACGGCTAGCGCCACAGAGGCAGGTTCCGCTTCGACCGCGTACTCGTTCAACGAGAACAACCATGACGTCAAGTCCGCCTAGCGGCTGATTTTCATGTGTAGCCGGGGCCTCGAGTGGCTCGTTTCGGTTTTGTCGACCGCCCCCCAAACAAAACTTGGAGGCCGTCGATATCTTTAAAACTACGCACAATACCGCGGAAAAGATGCCACCTTGTAATTCAGGGAGGCTGACTGCGCTAAAAAGAGTCATGATCCCAAAATCGAAACTATGCGGAGGGCAAGTTCGTCTGCTTCTTGCGCAGGGGGTAGCGGTGACGTCAGAACGCCGAGCCCTGATTGGCTGATCGAGCCCCCCTATCTGAGCGTCGTCTGCTTCTTTGCAACGTCGTCTGCTCGCAACATCGTCTGCGTCTGTCTTACGTTTCCTGCGACTTTCGGAAGTGCAGAGGCCAGATTCACGAAACGATCTTACGCCAAAAATGTGCGTAAGACAAAACTTAAGAACAAATTCGTATTCACGAAACGAAATTTTCGCAAGTTTTGCGCAGGTTACGGCGAAATCCTACGACAGCTCCGAAGCTGTCTTACGCACTTCTTACGATCAACTCAGCATGGCCGACAGCGTCGCGGTCGCGACGACCCACGGACGCTTATTTTTCTACGTGAGCTTCTCACGCGTCCTGACTTCAAGCAGCAAAAAAAAAGTAAAAATTACTTGAAACAGAGCACGACGAACAAGAACGCTGGATCCACAGACACCGGGGAAAAGCTCCAACGGCGACGATTCCACCGAACGCGACCAAACGCGCTGGGCAGTTAGGCCTAGCAGGCACTCCGCGACTCGGCGACCGTCTGCCCACTACCGGCTGACGTGCTGAATGGAATATGCCCGCGCGACCGTTGTGAATCCTTCCCGTGTTATACTTTGATCGCTGACCTCAATTTTAGATTAAGAGGTCAATTTCTTCCTCTTGTTATCTCCTTGTTTCCCGAGGCAACGGTGACTCTCGCCGGTAAAAAAGCGGCGAATCTCCGACAGACGCAGGAAAGGTAAAGCAGCCAGCGCTTTGACTAGCAGACGTAAAGCAGACGACGTTAACTGCGCCAACCCGCCGGCGCCGTTAAAGAGTGAGGGGTCTCGCCGCACACGAATGGAGGTAAAAAGTATTTGGGAGAGAACTTGCGGACACTAAGCAAACAAACCTCGGCGCCCCGGGACACCTCGCCAGTGAGTCCTTTGACTTCCCTCCTTGATGCGCGTCTGCTAGTTGTGAGACGAAAACAACGTACCGCTCGAGTTATTTCGTCTGCCCTCCCTTAAAGTCCAAGTCGAGTTCGCTCCGAAAGTCGCAGGAAAGGTCAGACAGACGCAGACGATGTTGCGAGCAGACGACGTTGCAAAGGAGCAGACGACGCTTAATAGGGGGTCGCGATCAGCCAAACAGGACTCGGCGTTCTGACGTCACCGCTACTTCCTTTCTCATGCGCAGAAGACGAGAATGAGCCCACTTGCGAGGCGTATATATGGACCGGAGTTGCCCTTTAAAGGGATACTGAAGCGAAACTTGAAATACACCTATTATGGTCAGAAATAGGTTCAATATGATCAATGATATTCATAAATCATAATCGCGCGTTTGTATTTTGAACGGATGGCTATATTTTTCACCCTGATGGGCCCGATTGGGCGCGCGCTCAAAAATCGGCCATCGGAGAGCGCGATGCGTCTTGGGATATTGGGCGCATTCGTGACGTCACTTGTGCCGGTCGGGAAAGGCTACGGCGTGAATGTTGTGGTTACGAGCGTTGCCACTTGGTGGCGCGTCGACGAATTTACGACCTGTGACAACGTCGCCGTTTGAGATGCGCAAGGGCTGCACGCACGCTGCACCACGGCAAGTCGGCAACCACGGCAGCACTGACAAAACCAGCTCTGAGGCCGGATTCTCAAAGCGAATTCACGACGAAAAAAGTGCGTACGACAAATTTGAGAGAAAACCCGTGCTCTCGAAACGAAATTGTCGTAACCTTTGCGCAGGTTACGACAGAATCCTACGACAGCTCCGAAGCTGTCTTACGCACTTTTTACGATCAAATCAACAAGGCCGACAGCGTCGCTCAGTTACTTGGTATCGGGGGTCCATATCAAATGAGCGAATGACATTTTAGCGAACAGCGACATTTGAGCGAATCGACGTTTTAGCGATTAACGGGGGCGCGCGTTAACCCATCCGCCGCGCTGCGCTTTACGCCGCTTCGCGGCGACAGTCTGCAGCAGCTCATTACAAAAATGTGAGCCCATTTGGCCCACCCGAAAACGCCGCTTCGCGGCGTCCGACTATTCGCTAAAGTGTCATTCGGTGAAACGTGGGCGTTCGCTAAAACGTCATTCGATCAAGTGAGTGCCTCCCTGGTATCGGCCACCAACGGACATTTATTTTTCTTCGTGCTCTTCTCGTGCGTCCCGACTTCAATCAGCAAGAAAAAAGGAAGGAGTACTTAAAACAGACCACGACGATCAAGAACGCAGGATCCACAAACACACGAGAAGAGCTACAACAGCCACGATTCTGCCGACCGAGCGAGCTCGGCAGAATATAGTAGGCCTAGCAGCAACATCGACTCGGCGCACCGTTGCTCCGGCGGTCCTTGGCCAAGACCGTCTGTCCATGACCGGCTGGCCTGCTGAATGGAATATGCCCGCGCGACCCTTGTGGACCCTTACCGGATGAGTAGTTTGATCCCTGAACTAAATTTCAGAGGTCAATATTTCCCCCTTGTCATCTCGATCTCCTTGTTTTCCGAGACAGCGGTGACGAACGCTGTCGTCGAAAAGGGACTCTCATTGATTCTATCTCCTTGTTTTGTGTGATATAGAACTCAAATAAACGCCATACGGATTACCTTGGCAACTCGGTATGTACACTCTGTTATTAGTATGCCATTTTTATTCTGACTCGACGCTACGTCAGTGTCGAGCTATAGCAGTTCGTGGGAGCTACGCGATGTCGGTCTAACCTTTCTTTGCCGAGTGTCATGTCAGTATCGAGTTGCAATCGTAAAAGATCGGTCCAGAAGCGCTTACCGAAACGCGGTCTAAGAGCGAATCCAGCACTTCGATCAAACGCGCGCGTCCGCTCCGAGTGTGAACAGGTATTTGGCATTTGCGTGGCTCTTGCTGACACCCTCGTAGTTCAAACATATCCTTTTTAACGTCGGCTTGCAGCTCGCAACTCGCAGCAACTAATACCGGCCGTGCCAGAAGCACGCTCGGGCCGTGTCGTGCAAAGAGCCGCAACGAGAACGAGCTCACTGTGGCCAACTACGCTTTGGCCACTTTGGCTTTCTCCGCCAAGGCTTTGCAAACGCGTTCAGGCCTAGGCGAATTCTGCCGGCACGCCGTATTGCCGCAGAACGGCGCTGCTATTTTGGCACAAGTGATGTCACGAGAACTTCCCCCCATCCACCAGATGAGAATTTGAAATCGTTTAATTATGTTTAAAATTAGTTCTCCTCTGTTTTACAGCGCAATATTTATATTTCCGAGGTGGTGCCTGTCCCTAGCCCATATTTATGCAACAAGATCGGCGCTAAAATTTCGTTTCACTACCCCTTTAAGGTTATGATTATCAATCCTTGTTTTCACCCTTGTTGGTGTTATACCCCTGTCAGCCGGGCATCTTGAAGGCCTTTAGGGTAAAGGTCCTTTAACTCAAATGTCATTTAGGCGGTGTCAGACGCGCAAGTCAAATGTCATTCGGGCTAAATGACATTTACGTTCAACGGAGTTACAACAACTCCGTTAACTCCCCAACTGCCTACTCTCGTCGACAGCGATCACGGATGACGACGAAAATAAAAAATAGATAGTCTCACTTAGGAATTCATCAGTTAGACTACATTTTAAAACAATTTACGAAGCTGTCTGCTTACTTTAAAAAGACTTTAGCGCGACCACAGCAATCATGTTCTCTGCTCCTTCCTGTTCGTCGTAACTCGACTCGCCATTGTGCTCGCCGCTCTCCTTATCTCTTCGCTTTTGATCTTGTTTTTGTGTACTTCCTTCTCCTTCGCTTGTGCTTTCGTTTTATTACTCAACTTTCATTTTGCAGTGTTCTTTTGTATTCCTAAGTAGTAAGTTTTAATTCCTCCTTTTTCATAGTTTGTATTTAGTTTGTATTTTGTCGAACGATGACGGAGCCGTCGCAGAAGGGCCCGCGAGTCCAGTGGTCCGTCTCCGAGATTTGGGCCTTGATCGGCCTTTGGGAGGATAGGTTGTGCGACCTCCGGCGCCAAAAAAGGAATGGGGGGATTTACGCCGAAATGTCAGAGGCGATGAAGTTAATTGGGCATCACAAGTCCAAGGATCAAGTGCACAACAAGATCGAAAACCTCACGAGCGTCTACCGGTAAGCAATTTTCATGAACCCTGTTTTCTTCGATATTATGGTGCACCAAGACCCGAAATCAGGTGTAAGAACTTTGAGAGAGATATTATCGTAAATATGTAGCTTTAATATTTGCCTCTGGCTCTAGGGTCGGATTTGGTCAACGATGAAAGCAAGATCTCGGCCTCTTTTGATTTTTAACGGTTAATTTTGATCTCACCCGGCTCGCATTCACGGAACTAAAATATCGTAGCAGAATATCGTCTGCTGACGTGAGGGAAGAGGGGGAGTTCGTCTGCTATGAGTAATTAAAATAAAACGTCTGCTAACACGGAAGAAAAAAAAAAGTGGGTCGTCTGCTCCGAGTTCGGCCCGTGGGCGGTGAGATCGAAAACAAACTTGAATTGGGATTGTCTGCCATTTACCGAAGTACGGAACCGACGACCGTGCTTTGTTTGGAAATGACACAAGCGATTGATGAGGAACAAAAATGCTTTGTTTGGAAATGGCATAAGCGATTGCTGGGGAACAAAATAATAATTATTACTCGAAACATCAGGATAAGAAGTTACCTGAAACGATCACTATAAACGTTTGCTGTCCTTTCTGAACACGTGAAATAACTCAAAATATGTATCGCAGAGATTCTGTCATGGGTGGTATTGAGAACCATATGGGGCACCACTTTTGAACAGGGCTTGGCAAACACAGGCTGAGTGGATGACTGCACCCCAAAAAGGATTTCTTGGCAACATGAGTCTTTAAACGCTGTGATCATGTGGCTAGCGAGAAAAGATTTGCTTGTTCCACCGCAAGATTCCGAACCACATCTGAAGTAGTCGTGCTCAAAACTCAGCGGAGTGGCTTGTAAAGCTTCCAGAATTCGAATCCTCCAGTTCCTGAAGTACACAAACTAGTTGAGACTCGTGGCAATAACACACAAAGCACTATTTAAGAAAAGACAATGGAGGGGGACTCATTACGCTTGGGTGTTAACACAATTGAGTTTGATATGCAGTCCTTAGTCACTGCTCAGAGCCTCAAAAATCTTGTATTCTCGTTCCTAAGCAAGCTCTTAAGTATTTTAAATGTTTCCCTCTTGTCTGTTTGAATGTCTTGCTTGCTTGCTGCCCTTTTTGGATCAGATGGAAATTGTTGGAGTAGCAGATCCTCAGCACCTAGAACCCATTAATGAATGCTGCCTTTTGGGTGGTTACATCATCATCATCATCATCATAATGCCTTTATTTGTGCCAATTAACAACCAACAAAGGTCTACAATGTGGCACAGTGAAAAAAAAAACAAATTGCACAACTGTAAAACATGCTCAACTGATAAAACTAGCATGCAACAAAACACGACAGTACATTTTTAGCGACGGAAAATAATCTCATCTAATTCTCTACTGAGATTTACTTAGCTATCAAAAATATCAAACTTTTCATGCCTTAGATTGTTTACACTTGTCTGCATTCATGTTGTTGGTGATGTCATGTGTTGATTGTGGGGATAAAAAGTGAGAGCTGTCCTATTTGAGCGAGTCGGTACGTTAAAGTTCACTGTGAACAAAAGGGTTGAGTCAATGTCCCCGTGAACTATTTTATACAAGAAGGCAACATCGCGCGATAATCTTCTGAGGGATAGACACTGTAGGCCAAATTTGTCGAGCAGGAGTTCATAGTTGTAAAAATGCCTTCGGCCAAGGTATTTGTCTTAGATTATGCGCACAGAACGTCTCTGAACTGACTCTATTTTAGCTGCATCACGTATTGTCGGTAAATTCCACACCACAGAGCCAAAGACTAGTCTCGATATGATAATCGAACAAAATAAACGAAGGAAACAAGCATAGTTCGCAAACTTTCTAGTTAATCGAGTAATCATTCCAAGTAATCTAAATGCAGAACAGGCAATATGGGCGACATGGCAGCCAAAGGATAGAGTAGTGTCAAAGTACACTCCTAGATCACGAAGCGATGATACTCTTAAAATGCACTTATCATCAATTGAGTATGAATAGTGTATAATTTCACGTTTTTTACTGAAAGACATGACCTTAGTTTTTTCTGGATTGATGATTAAGCAATTTTCCCGACACCAGTCTAAAATATGCGATGCGTCACTCTCAAGAAGGTCACAGTCGTCGATCAAACTAATACTTAAAAAGAGCTTGATGTCGTCTGCGAATAACAGCACGTTTGAGTTTATTACGCAAGTAGATATCTCATTGATAAAGATCAAAAACAATAGTGGACCCGAATTGGAGCCCTGTGGTACTCCCGATGACGGATAAAAAGGATCAGAGAAGTTATTTAAAATGCGTACGACACAACGACGGTCAGTCAGGTAGCTTTCAAGCCATAATAAAAGCACAGGAGAAACGCCATTACGTGACAATTTGTGCAGCAGCAAAGCGTGGTTCACCTTGTCAAAGGCTTTCGAGAGGTCAAAATAAACAACGTCAACTTGACCGCGATTACAAACAAAAGGCACTGAATAATCAAGGAAGGTACAGAGGTTTGTCTCGACTGAGCGCCCCTTGATAAAACCGTGCTGAAAAGAACTGATACAGCGCTTGAAATGAAAGGACAGACGGGTGTGCATCACTATCTCAAATACCTTTGAAAAAGAACATAGCAATGATACAGGGCGATAGTTCCCAACTTGCGAAGTATCTCCCGTCTTATGAATAGGAACAACAATAGACTCTTTCCACAGAGATGGAAATATACCCTCACTCAATGAAATATTAAATATATGCTCTAAGATAGGCGCAAAAAGATTCGAGCAACCTTTAATGATAAAGTTAGGCACATGATATGTACCAGATGTTAGTTTCGGCTTCAGTTTCCTTATAGCCGCCAAGATCTCGCTAACAGTGACTTTGTCTACTGCACAAACATCAGAGTAGACAGGATCGTTAAGAAATGCACTATCTTTAGGAACATCGGAGGAAAAAAACCACTGCAATGACTTGCAAAAAAAATTAGCGATATCCTTCGGGATAGACAGATAATCAGAATTTCTTCTTAGACAGATACCGTGTGTACTGCCTTTTGTATGTTGTCTAGCAAATTTCCAAAACTTATCTGGTTTGTAAAAAATACTATTTTCTACTGCGTTTAAATGCACACACTCGTCATGAATAAACAACTTTTTGACAAGAGACCGATAAATGCTGAACTTAGCATACCACATTTGCGATCCTTTTTTTTTTTTTTGTACAATTTGTGACAATGTGATTTTTTTCTTTATGTAATATATTAGATCTTTAGAATACCACGAAGGATACTTTCTAGGTTTCGATGACCGTTTTGGAATGAAGTTTTCCATTCCATTTCTCACTACCGTCGTAAACGACTTCGCCGCTGAGTCGACTGAATCGTCCTTCAAAATGGATGACCAGTCGTAATTTTCAAAAAACCTATAAAGACCAAAATAATCGCCTGTGTTGAAGGAGTAATACGTATGCTTTGGGAGAGCTGCAGATTTCAACGAATTATGGAAGGCAGCAATAAACGGTGGGTGAAAAGCGTCAACCTTAACAAGTGAAACATCGGCAAGAGTTAAGCCGATGATTGGTACATTTGAAAGAAAAAGATCAAGGACGTTCCCAGCGCTGTTATCAAACCCGTTTAGTTGACTAAGGCCATTAAAATGTATAAAATCCAATAGGTGAGACGATTTGCTTGCTGTTATACTGTTTCGACTAGTAACAAATCCTGACTGCCAGTTGGCACCAGGTAGGTTAAAATCACCATAAATGTGCACCCTGAACTTAGAAAAGTCAATTTCTTTTTCCAATGTATCAAAGTGTTCATTAAAAATACGATTATCCGATAGGGAGGGAAATAATAATTCCCAATTAGGAGGTTACAACCATCATTTGAAAGCAATTCTATCCAAACGCATTCTGGGTAGGTTTCAAGGTCCTGTCTGTGATGCGAGGTACTCGACTGATTTACGGCGATTAATACACCGCCTCCGAATTTCTGGCGAGTTAAAGCATAATCACGGTCACGACGGTGAACGGTATAAGAAGGCGGAAAACAGTCTGCACTGGAAATTTCCTCGTTGAGCCATGTTTCAGTTAGACAAATGATATTAAAATTGGAAGAGACTACATTTGGCAGAAATGTGTCCGCTTTGGTTCGTAAGCCACGAGTGTTTTGGTACTATGCATTAAATGTATCCATCATTCATCTTGGCATGATTGATTTCAGATGTGCTCGTACGCGAAGCGTCCAACCTTCCAAAGAACGGGTGAAAAATACAACCATCGGGCCACACTTCCGGTCTGTTAATTAATTCAAATGAGTCCTGATTCACCTCGACATGGAAGGAATAGTACGTCTCATACTTGGTCTTCATTTTAGAACAGCAAATCGGATTTCTCTTCAACGAAGGTTCGACGAGGAAAAGAACGTCAGAAGCTGTCGTGTCTGGAGCCAGACGCGAAACAAACAATGCTGCTTTCCGAGGGCGGGAAATTACGCCCACTTTCGAAGCCTTTCCAGTCCCAACCATTGGTTTGGTTCTTCGGCGTCTGTTCACGATCGTGAAGCCATCGGGCACTTCTGTCGCACTCAGGAGCTCACCTTGGCGTGGAATCTCCCGTAAACCAGCAGCTTGCGACGAGTCTTGCCCGTTCGAGTTGATTTGGCGCACTTGTGCGTCAACTGCCGGGAGAACGCCCCTCGGCGCCGCCGCGGATGAACTCGAGGATTGCCTCGGCAACGCGGCCGCATTAGATTCCGCCGTGACGGACGAGCACTGAGCCCTTGGTGGTACCGGTGCGGTATGTCGTTCCAGAAGTTTTCGTTTGAGGTTGGAAACCTCAGAACGGAGATCTTTGTTTTCTTCTCTGAGGCACTTCACCTCTGCTGTCAGTAGATGCAGTACTTCCATTTTGATGGCGATGGTATTCATGCAGCGTTCAACAACTCGCTGGATGGAGCCTTCCCCGGTGATGCCGGTCTTGGTAGCAGAAACGACCTCTTCGGGGTCCTCAGAAAATCTGTCTGAGTCATACCCATCCTTCGAGCTTGTGCGATGACGACGAGTGCATTTATTGCACTTGTAGGCACTTTTTCCTGACTGCATAAGCACTTCGTATTCGCCAGGACCAACATTAACGCAGTCGCAATGAAATCTACGTTTGCAACCGCCTGCACAAGCAAGGAAGTTCTGCTTATCGCAAATGCGAGCGGAGCAGCTACCGCACACGTCCCGCAGCTTCGGCGGCATGTTCTGTTCTGAAACGACGATCCTGGTAAGAAGGGAGCTCCTTCTTCCAGGATCCTCAAGATCCAGCTCATGACAGGATGGCACTGCTTATGATTTTAAATCACAAGTGACAAAAGACACTTTTGCTTATGCATTCCCAAAAACTTGGCAGACTTTGGAGTGGTCACTAGCTTTGTAAAATTGCCCAGCCTTGCACTGGAGGTTGCCTTTGCAAACATATTTGCATACATTATACATTTTATTGAGCTTGCTATATTATTAGGAAGCACCTGCGGACGGCCAGCACAACTGGAGCAACCGGAACTGGCCGTTCTATTGGGAGATTCACCGTTTCCTGGGATCCCTGCCCGCAAACGACAACACTCTCGTGGACAAGAGCTTGTGTGCGCACGATGTGACACCAGCTGTGTTGGAGGTAGGCAGTACATGTTGCACTATAACGTTTCAGCCACAGAGTACTAACAACATTCCTAATCTCCACATTTGTGTATGCATTCGTAATCTCCTTTACAGAAAATCTCTCAGTAACAAAGTACAAACTTTAGTGCAGATGTTGTAAGCTAAAACACTTTTCATGAATCTGTGCGCCCGTAATTTCGTCTTCTATGAGGACAAAACAACCTTCAATCGAAACATCCAATGATGCAGTGGTGAGAGAGCAAATAAAGTTCTTCACGCCCGCCATCAACCAAACTGCCGAGATTAGTTTTTCGTTCCTGCTCTCGTATGTTTTGCAAAACATGACAAAACTATGTCGCGGTTCTTCGGAGCCTTACAAGAATTGTAAATTAGGGATGATTTATTGGGCGTGTTCAGTAGCGGCTCCCTCAGCTCCGAACGGAGTCACTCGAGTCGGAGTCCTCGGAGCGCCTACTGAACGGCCAAAAAAACCGCGGCTCCAAACCTGCTTCTACGCTATTTCCGCTTCCTCCCCTGTGCCAGACGGTCTCTGAATAAACTGGAAGCAGACGATGGCGAGCACGATCGCTTCTATTTGACACCGGTATTCAAAAAGTCTTGACAAGGTCGTTAAATAAAAAGCGAGTCACTGTACACATCAGCGCTGCTGTTCGAAGCGATCCATCGTGATCGAGCACTTCGCTTGGTGGTGCAAAGGCAGCTACTGTTATAAAAACCGACAAAAACGTCGTCAGCACACGCAAAATATGGAGCTCGGCAAATCTACGCCGCCGGTTGCGATACTTTTATATGGCCATACGTCTGTTCTGCCCTTCGCAACAAACTTCCTATAAAATGTACTCGTATACACACCGGGAAGTTCGGCTGCGCTCGGCGATCAAGGTTTTGTCGGCCAAAGCGAGCGTCAGCCAACGTGCACCCCGGTTTAGCTACGCAAACAAAACCTTAATCGGGATCATGCTCTGTGTGAGTGTCCAACTGGCTACCGAATTCGCATTCATAGCCTGCCTTGCTCTGTTCAGCGCGGGCAGGATTATCGTCGATATTCACCGAGTTTCAGAGCAACGGCGATCAAGACATGGCGTCCAATGAACGTTTACATTGTTTATTAGCATATTCAAGCCCAACAAAATACGGTCCAATGCATTTTCCGAAAAAGCCTTACCTGAAAAGAAATTCGAAGAAAATGTGTGAATGAGTCAGCGCCTAAGAAGGAGCGCTGACTCCTTGACTCCTGGAGCCGCTACTGAACGCGCCCATTGAGATGATGTGCAGTCTACTTGGTTTAAAAAACATCCCATCCACCAGTGAAGTCAGTGCCTCATTCATACAATCATCAAGCTACAAGTGAATCTTTGTGCATGCCTAATTGGGCAATTGGGATTATACAGACACACATCACATGCTGCAATGAAGTTGTCTCCTGCTAAGTCATGTTTGGACATAAACAGGGGACTTGTCTGGACAATGATCACAGTGCAGGAAGGACTATCTGCAACTCCAGCTGGGCATATGGCACCAAGTGTTCTAAATTCTAACCAACCCAGTGACAGTCTTGCGCTATTTTTTTTTTTTTTTTTTTGCTTCAAGATTTTTGGTTGCTTGGCGAATAAAGCCTAAAGTTGTCAAATGAGGGCTGGATGGCATGTGCTTGGAGATGAGAATAGGCCAATTTAATGAAACTGTTTCGCTTCCGGTTCGTAATTTTTGAACGGATTGGTACACACTTGTCGTTCGGGCATGTAGGTTTCGAGCAGATTGGTGTACACTTTCTGCCGTTTGTCATATTGTTTTACGTGAAAGCGAATCTTTGCTAGTGTCTATTTTCGTTCTGGTGAGCCTCAGAATCACGGCCCCAAGTAGCTTCTTCAACGACAGAACTCTGGAAGCACGATCAGGGATATCTCTCGAGTCATGTAAACCCTCATTTACTCTGTTTTTATCCCCATCGTAGAAGCTTTGGGCACGTCTACCGGAGCCATTTTGGTCATCTGCTAACTTGCTAGCATGTATTAACTCTGAATGAAGGCTGGTAATAGTTAAAATTGGGTGCTGGCCTTTGCTTCTTTATGATGCTGAGAAATACGGCAAGTGTGGTTGATCAAAATGCTAAAGTAGAGCAAGGAGAAAACATATGGCCTTCATTGCCTCTGCCCATTGAAAAAGCATAGAACGGCTGCGCATCAAGATGGATGTCGGCGGGATTTTTAATTGAAATGGTATCACGTGAAACCACCCTATACACAGAGTAGGTAGAAAGCCAAACTAGTTTCAGAGGGAGACTGTGTACAAATGACACTTGCCATGCACCTACCAGAAGGAATAACAAGTTTGAGGGTTGGGCTAATTGGTAGTTGTTAAACATAATGAGATAAAACAGCGCAAAAAGTCACAAAAGGAAGCGACGGACAGGACAGAGCGCTGACTTGCTGCAGTGTTCAAGGTATGAGAGATTACTGTGTTTCTGGTTTCTAACAAAACTTATCCTATCAGCTGCTTTCAGAAACACAGGCAGAGGATGTCCCGTCGGACGACATCAGGGACGACACATCCGACGAGACGTCCCAGGAGCTGCCTGGTGCGAGTACCAGCGAACTGCCTGGTGCAAGTACCGGCGAGCTGCCTGGTGCGAGCACCAGCAACTCTAGGAGCGGCCACAATGCTGGCAGCAGCAACCAGGGTTGGGCAGAAATACTCAAAAATGTATTTGGAAATACAAATACTGGGATACACTAAAATAGTAGCTAAAATACTGATACTAAAATACATCTGTAAAAATGTATCGCGATACGTATCGGAAATACATTTTAAAAATAGGCAAAAAGTATTTGGAAATACAAATACAGGAATACATATTAGGGAGGGAAGAAATACAAATACAGAAATACTGATAGTGCAATACATTTTCCAAACTTTTTTAGACTCCAACTGAGATGAAGCTTAAAGTTTGAAGTGGATGTTTTCGATTCCAAAATTACTTTCCTGTAGGCTTGGCACTTTGCTTTGGTTTGGAACGACAAGGGGTCTTCAATGGGCCAAAAAAAACGTTCCATCAAGGGCTGACCGCGGTCCCTTCCATGACATCTTGTCTGTCTGACGAGGGAATCCTGTCAACATCGATCACATGATGTCACGGTGGAATAAACTAGTATTCTTTATCTGTAGGTGTGGCCTTGAACATGAAACTTTACCACGCTGCTGTATGAAAGGACAATACGTACTTTCGTTGTAGGTTACCTAGTTGAAGATCGTGCATGCAGTGTCATTTGGAATTTTTGAGAATAGTGGACCACCTGAGGCATCTTGGAATACACGTCTTATCTTCTTTTACGGTTGAAAACACGATACGGTAGCATCCCTCTTCTGAAGGTTTTTACTACCGACCCTCCGCCACCGACGCACGGATTGCAGTCCTCAAGTTTTGCCTAGCATTATCCAAACGGAGACCTCGTGGATTGCGAGCTGATATTGCCGCACAGGTACGAGCTGTCCGAGAAACACCGCTCTCGAGAGGAGTCGCGGGAGTACGTAGTCTGGGATGGCACAGCGAGGCCACGTCTGTCCTGTTTCCTGGGTCTCGGATCACCAGACCAGCGGGTCACGTTCACGTCGGCTGATGACGTACCCTTGAGTCATGCAACATTACGGGCGCAGCCGCAGACGCATTCGCATATGTGTTGAACTTCACTGCATGAGTCATCCTACTACTTCAAGTCAACTACCGCCAGGCTCGTGCTGCAACGGACTGTGACTCAGCTTTGCCGGCTCGGTGTATGCTGTACGCTAAGGGGAGAGAGACGGTTAGCAGGGGGCATTGGATGCCAGCAAACAATGACTCAAGAAATCCCTACCTAAGGACCTGCGGCAGACGCACTGACTCCACTCCTGGCACGCCACCTGGTTCGAGTCCCCAAGTACGGAACACTTCTCAGAAGAGATAAAAGGACGCATAGAAAAATAGTTTTCAGAATCAAAAGGAACCTTGGTCAGCATAGTAACAATGCCCCAGCATCTCCTTGACTATGGTGCCCTCAGAAGTAAAAAAAAAAAAAAAAGATGCGTTCGGACTTGTTTCTTTTTTTTTTTTCTTCGGTGGGGGGGGGGGGGGGGAGTATTTCTGAAGAAATGTAACGAAATACATTTCATCCTGATTGTATCGCGATACAAAGAAACATTCCAAATGTATTTCGATACAGGAATACAGATACTGGTGAAAAAAATGTATCGCGATACAGAAATACAGATACGAAATGTATTTTTGAAATACTATCGCGATACATTTGTATCGCGATACTGCCCAACCCTGGCAGCAACCCTGCTGGCCGTGGAAGGAAGGCAGGTGGTGCCAGTAATGGCACAACTATCATGTTGCCGCAGGTGCCAGAGTCGGGAAAACGGAAAAGACCCCCGCAGCCCTCTGCCACCCTCGCAAAGGCGGTAATTGAGGAGCAGAAGTTGCTCCGTTTAAGTTTGGAAACGGCTCGGGGCCGTGAGTTCACTCTGCGGGAGCAGGAGCTCAAAATTCAAGAAAAAGCACTGACCGTGCAAGAAAAGCTTGCGAATGCCATGATGGCCTTTTTCAATAAAACAGGCTGAGCGGAAGCTGTAGCTTCAAAAAAGTGGTGCTGCTTTTTTTTATTTTTTGTTCTTTGCTGACAAATTATTTTGGGCTTACCAGGGAAGTAAAATCATCTTAAAACCACAAATAACATGTTTAGAACAGATAGTGCTTGCATGACATTACAACAGTGACAGCAACAATGGGTATTTATTCACCACAGCTGGGATCCAAAGATACACAGGTCCACATTCCGAAGGTGGACAGTAAATAAGAGTGTGACAACCATCGGCAAAATAGTAATCATACAATGTGAAATAAAATGAACAGGCATGCTGCATAAACTAGATAGAGAAAGATTAAAAAGGAGCAAGCCACACACAAGCCTGTTAAGGCATGTTCCATCCAATTGTTGAAAACATCTTTCCAAGCCTGCAGCTGAAATGTTCCGAGACATAGCGAAAGAATTGATTACATCATCACATCAAAGCATTTAAAAGTTTACTACAACGCTTAAATCAAGTACACTCTGGAAAAGCTTTTTTTTTTCTCCTATACTTGTTTTTACCTAGGGAACCGCAACAAAAAGAAGTCGGACTCCTTGCGGACATTTACAAATTTTCACGCTTTATATGGTGCATCGAGATACTTTATGGGAGTTTGTGGTTAGTCATTGTTACAATAGCAAAACATGTTTCAAGCACAAACAAATTTGAAAAGAGTACATGACGGCGGACGATGCAGTAGGTAGGTTTCAGAGTGCAGCGGATGCCAGGAGCTGATGGCGCCAATCACGGCATGCAAAAGAGCAACGTTAAGGCTCTCCTCTTTCCTAGAGGGCATTCTTAGGGGCTAATCCAATCAAATGCGGCAGGAGAGAAGAGGGCGATGATGTTACGATTCTAATTGTGGGATTTTAGTAAGAACTACTTTGTGCACCTTATGAACATTGTAAAAAAAAACTTGGTGTTTTCTTTACATGGGAACGATAATAGAATAACTATATCAAGCAACATCCACAAGTATGAACATATGTGCCAAGGGTCTGGAAGGATTGTTTCCCTCGACAACACTGTTGTGCCACCATTGACCCTGTGCTTGAACTGAAGCAAAAGCCCGAGATATATGTCGATAAACTGAAAGTGCAAGTTTTAACTATCGTGTTCATAAATGTTTGAAACAAAGCAACTTCTTTCTTCAGCAGGGAGAATAATAAAAATAAATTGCAGGGTTTTCTCTTTAGGTTAAAAGCACTAACAACAAAAAAAATTGGGGTGTCTGAATGCTTATACAGCATAGCACTTAGTCTGCCTCAATGGGCAATTTGTCTCCCAGCTGTAGATGAGAAATTTAGCTAGTGCAGTACAACCGCTAGCCTGGGGTCTTTAAAATTCATCACGCAGTAGTGATACACGACCGCACGCCGGTACGATGCGCTCATCCACATCGAAACAGGCAGGGGTGGGGATTGAACCCAGGATCCCCTAATTCTGCAGCGTGAGCTTTTGCTCCACGTGCTCCGAGCTCGTGTGTGCTAGCCCACTCGGCCACCAATCCTCCTAAAGCTCTAACATACCAAAAAAAACATCCCTGAAAAAAGAAAAAACAAAAAAAGAGTATTTTTCAGTGCTATATTGTTCAATAGATGTCAATTGATGAATATTTCCACAACCAGAGTACAAAACCGCTCACGAGTCTCAGTATGGGAGAAATGCATGCGGATATAATCTCTTGCGGTCTAGCTCTTCGCTATCAATAAGAGCACTCAATATGCGGAGCTCTGATCAATATTGTCATTCATTTTGAAAAGAGTCTGATACGCATTTAATTGATAATCACTATGTTGGTCAGCCACACGCAATCGCTTGCCCTTTATCGACCGTTTCACTGTTCTGAAATATCTCAAATAAAAGTGTGGGTTACGTTTTTGGATCAAGCTTTTAATATGAAAATAGAACGTGCATGATTGCAATTATTGAATTTTTGGGACGCTTCAAGCTCATAAATTAAGTTACCGCCACAGAAAGTCAATGTCAGAAAAATCATTAGTACCTATTTAAGGAAATTCAAATATGATATGCAAGTTCCTTGAAACAGTCGTACTAAGTGGAGACGCTATTACAAAAGAAGGTTTCCATTAAGAGGCTTGTTCTCCCAATATGTTGCGTAGCTGGATTACTGTATGTATGAGCAAAGTATGAAACCTGGACATAGTAATGCTGCACATACATACCGGTAAACAGACCAGCACATATGCAGGTGGCAGGGAGGGATTGACGATAAACCATGCAACTTCCGAACAAACAGCAAGGCCAGCTAGCTTCACCAAGAGGTGTGGGCATGCACAGGGCTAGTGCAGTGAGTTGGCTTCACATTTCGTTTGGAAGTTGGATGATCTTCCATCGAGTCCTTCCTGCCACTTGTACATGTGATGTCATCACTGGATTACGTTGCGTGTTGCTGCGTGTTCCGCCTATGGAGGTAGGCTGCTATGGCTGCCCTCACGTCCTGTCCATTTCCAGCGGCAACATCCGTTCTACAGAGAGGTTGCAGGAACATGTGGTCGTAAAGCTGCACCTCGGTGACCCACTGTGGCTCAACCCCATCATTGAAGTGCTCGCAGATGTTGTTGAGCACACAGCAGGCTCGGATGATGACCCTGGCATTGTCTACGTGGCACTCCATTCTTTTCATTATGCAGCGAAAGCGTGCCTTCACTCTGCCAAAGGCGTTCTCTACTATCCTTCGTGCTCCCGAGAGCTGCTTGTTGAAGCTAGCTTCTGGAGACCTTTCCTTTAAGCCCTTGCGCGGATAGGGCTTGAGGAGGTTTGATGTGAGAGGGAAGGCCTGATCGCACAAGATCAGTGGTGGCACAACAGCTCCATTCACAGTGACAAGCGGAGCTCGAAACAATGGTCCTTCCAAGACCTTTGCAAGCTCCGACCTGCGGAAGACGTGCGCGTCGTGGCATCGCCCTGGTGCTCCCACGTTGACATAGCGGAACCTGTAGCGGTGGTCCACCAGAGCCAGCAGAATGATGCTATACCTGAAAAAGAAGCATTGCATGCAGGCAGATTTAATTATGAAAATCCCAACACTTTGAAATGCTTCGTTTGGCTGTTTGGCACGGAGATCTTCTAATTGTTGATATCACAAATGTTAAATGGGTACAGAAACCAAAGTCTGGAGCTCATCTCTTTGCTTATGGAACTTCACAAACACCAATATTTCGTAGGATAATGCAAGAAAACATAACGAGAAAAGAGTCAAAGTACAGGCTAGCTGGTGGAAGTCAACCATTTCGTCGTTTACCCTGAGACTGGGGGTATAGTTCGTTTTCGTCGTCAACAACCAATCACATACGACTTGTCCTTTGCATCGTGACTTTACAGGTTCCACTATATCACAAAAGAAGCAGACACTCCCAACGTTTCCAAGTGAAAAGGTTCTAGCAGAAGATATGCCTCACAAAGCCCCAAGCAACTCTTTTGTGTCCTCACAATAAACAGGACAACAGCCCACAACAACATCCCACTCAAAACTGGTCACCTCCAAAATTGTAGAAAACAGACAATACACACCGGTACACACCACAGACAATACACACCAAAGAAGCCTTTCAGAATGACTAACCGAAAAAAAAAAAAAAAAAAAAGCACTTAAAATTGTAAAAATTGCTTGCAGCGGTTCCCTATTTGCATGGAAGGTTGACTAATGCAATTTCCCAACGATCTAATCCTAATTGTTTCTCTTACCACCCTTTTAACATCGTTCCTTTCCTTAACAACTACATCCGTTCCAGACCAATCCGTTGTGCAGTTTCTACACTCCTCCAGATGCTTAGCCAACTCGACGACGACGAAAACGAACTATATAAGAGGAAGTTGTTGAAATAAACGTGTAGCTGAGTTTGAGACCTGTCTGTTTTTTTCTGTTTCTTCTGCTCTTCAAAAAAAAAAAAAAAAAAAACCCAGTCTCAGGGTAAACGACGAAATGAAAGAAAACATAATTTGAACTGAATACAATGATAACCAAGTACCATCTCGTGGATGTCTTGAAAGCTTCAATGGAATGTCGTGCCAATAACATGCAAGTAAAGGCCTGTTTACACCTGTAACTGAGTAGGACGGAGAGAGACAAGACCCTCTTGGCGATGGCCTAGGACAATTTACAAACCCCGCTAGAACCAGATAAGAAAACGACTGAGCCCGGAGTATAGCTGTCCGACGGCAGAAACTGTACTTCAAGCCATCATTACCGAGTGCCCCAATTATGACAGGAACAGGGACAATGTGTACACCAGACTCGCTGTCAAGAGGCAAGTTTCTACGGATAATATTTTGTTTCTGGTGCTATTAAAAAGATGCGAAACATCTGTCAATGCACCCTTGAATTTTTTTGTGGTAAAGGACTCTTGCAGAATACAGCAAAACAACGGAGACCCGGGGGGGGGGGGGGGGGGGGGGAGGGAGGGAGGGAGGGAGGGAGGGGAGGATCAGTGGCCGAGAGGGCTAGCGCACAACAGCTCGGAGCATGTGGAGCGAAAGCTCGCGCTGCAGAACCCAGGGATCCTGGGCTCAATCCCCATCCCTGCTTGTTTCGATCTGGATGAGCATCGTACTGGCGTGCGGTCATGTATCGCTACTGCGTGGTGCTTGTTAAAGACCCCAGATTAGCGATTGTACCGCACTGGCTAAATTGCTCATCTACAGCTGAGACACCAGACGCCCACTGAGGCAGGCTAACTTCCGGCTGTGTAAACAGACGACAATTTACATACAGAGACGTAGGGTTCAAAAGAGCTTTTGGGCTAAACCCTTAACTAGCCAATGACAGCACCAGCGCTAGATGCTGGCGTAACCTAGGGAAAGTTAAACACAAACAGGCCACCACCACCACTACATACCAGCTCTTGTAGTTGTGGTAGTCGCTTGCATTTTCTTGTGGTGGTGACACCGGGAAGTGGCACCCATCCAGCGCTCCAACTCCTTGCGGAAACTCCAACACAGCTTGGAACTCACGGATATGTTCCGGCAGCTCCTTTTGGGTCATCAGTTTGGCCCATTCGGGCTCGAGGACAGCCACGATCGTCTCGCAAAACTCCCGGTACAGTTCGTTGACTGTCGATCGGCCGATACCGAACAGGGTGGCCACCGTCCTGTCCTCGGCCGTGGAGCATAGTTTAAAGAGGGCCACTCCCGCCCGCTTCTCCATCGCGATCGTCTTCCGCATGCAGGTGACTTGTCGCTCCATGTAAGGCCGGCACACATCAACAAGGTAACGAAATGTAGCTGGCCTTACACGGAACGCCTGTTTGAAAAAGTACTCCGGCATGTTGGGCAGGGTGTCTTCAAACCATCGCTCGTGCCTCACGAAGAACTGCACCTGCCGATGCACTGTGAGACAGTCCACCCCTGTTGTTGCGAGCACGAAGTTATTTGCCAGCATTTGGTCCTCCAAGCGATCGGCCTCACTTTTTGCCGATGACACGGCAGCTCGGATGGCAGCCAAAGAGCTTTGCTGCTGCGCGTGCATGCATAAAAGTACAGCGACCTGAGTCTCTGGCGGTTCTGAATGTTCCATTGTTGACACCCTCAGAAGCAAACAGATCGAGCAGACGAGGAACCGTCCTGACCGAGCAGACGAGGAATCACGGCAGCGCGAGGAACGATGGAGAGCTCAGTCGCTCAGAAGCTCAGTTTTCGAGCGGGAACATCATTGTTGCCTTTAGAGCGGCTCATACCAGCCAGTACCAACCAAAAGTCGCTTCGCTAGCAAAAACACTGCGTGTATTTGTTGAAAAAACACTATATAAACACAACCCATAATATTTTTTTACACAAATAAATGGCAATACATCAGTAATTTTGTTTTATTGAGCCATTTATTTTGATAAATGAGTGACCGCTGTCTCTAACAAATCGAAAAATACAATTGCAATAAACATCTCCTAAATGGCATTCGAGATGTTCTCCGACACGTCTGACACCCGAGAGCTTGAATGACCTTTGAGAATCTCGAAGGCCTTTGGCCTAAATGGCATTTGAGTTGACCGTCTGACAGGGGTATTAGTCTGGTGGTGGCTGATGAAACCCGTTTGCTCTACAGACGTCTAACCCCTGGTTAGCTCAGTTGGTAGAGCGCTCCACTGGAAATGGAGAGGTCCCGGGTTCGATACCCGGACCAGGCGGATTTTTTCGGTCGTGCACTAGTCACCTAGCTGTGTTTGGAGATTTGTGTTTGTCCTCTCTCCCTCTTGTTCCCTTTCTCCAGGGATTAATGTCCTGAAGAGCATGCTATAGAATACAGTAGCGCACATCACTCAAAAGGAAATTCGACCCCCTCGCGCGAGGTTACATCGTCTGTACACGTTCGTGAACCCGCGAATTGAGGGGGTACGGACCCGCGTCTGATGTCTGTGCAGGTGGAGGGAGATGTCGAAGAAGTTCGGAAGGGTGAAACTGGTGTAAAAGACAAGAACAAATAAAGAAGAAAAACACGATGGAAGGCGACGGAGAGCCTATTCGGCGTTGTCTTACTTGATCTTTGTCTTTCGTATATTTGTACATGCCTTGCCCGTTTTTCTAGTGGTTCTAGTGACCGGTCATACAAAAAATTGCGTTTGCTTTTCGGCTATTCTCCCCTTCCTGATGCTTTCTATTTTTTGAACGAGCTCTCTTTATGCTAATGAATGTTCTGTTCGGATTGCTCCAGTTACTGTATTATGCTCATATTTATAAAAAGTAAGGAGTAATTAAAGTAATTCATTACTAATATTTTGTAGCAAAATTACATTGCAAATTACTTCCGAAAAAAATTAACGTAGCAACTGCAAAATTACTTGAAAAAGTAGCGGATTACAAGTAATCCGTTACTTGTAGCAGATAACTTCCCAAGTCTGACCCAGAGTAAGGATACTTCAACTTCCTCTGCTGGTGCAAGCGCGTGCAATGCCAAGCGTCCATGCACTATGAAAATTAAAACATGACCGCGTGGGTAGCACGTGCCCTACGCATAGTGAGGAAAACAGAAGCGCCCCTGCCGAGCTTCTCACTGCGAATAGGCCCTTTGAGAAATTCAGCCTGGCCGCGCCGATAACTATTATCATCTAATAGCATGTTATCTGTACATGACAATAGCTGCCTTTTGATGGCTGATGAAGGAAGGCAGACACCGACGCGGGGAGGAGCCTGAACTTTCCAGACGTTAGTTCGTTGTATTGTTCTTCGACGTCAGCGTGACGAAACACAAAAGCCTCTGTGCGCTACGCATTTTAAGGATGTCATGGGAATCCTAGGAATGCTCGGTTTCGGCACGCCACAGCCAGCTCGTGACAATAAAATGTGATGAATATTATCAAGCGATATACCCATGTACGCGCCCCGTAAAGGGAGTATTCATGGGCGGCCATAGCTGTGTGCGCGAATGCTGAGCGCGTGCTGATAGCGAGCTTTCACAGTTCTTTTGCAACGTGCATTCCGCACCATCAAAAGTGCCGGTCTTAGCAGCCTATTGATGTGAGCTCGTTCTCAGCATGCGCTCTAAACAGCACCCACAAATATAGCGTCCAGTGAATACTCCCTATAGGAAGTATTCACTGGACGCCATATTTGAGGGCGATGTTTAGAGCGCGTGCTCAGAGCGAGCTCACATTAATAGCCTGCTAAGACCGGCAACCTTGATGGTGCTAAATGCAAGCTCTAAAAGGACTGCGGAAGCTCGCCGTCAGCATGCGCACAGCAGCAGCGCACACGGATATGGCCGCCGGTGAGTACTCCTTATAGGATGGTAGTCCCTTGACATCATTGAAATCGAATAGAATGTAGGAAGAACTGTAACAGTGAAGAACACCGCAACTTTCGCACGTCTTCCGTTGAGAAATAGACACTAGGTTTTAACCAAGCATTCAAGAATTTAAACTGATAGTTGTGCCACTAGATGGCACTGAATTTCTGAAAGGGTCTACTGGCACAACGTTGATTGGCACTCAATGTGCACGAGCGCACAGGCGCCCATAATTTCTAAAGGACAACGGACGATTGAGGTTTCAGCAGTTCTTCTCTATCTTGTGGACACCGTAAATTTCGCGTGTTGTCAGTTCTTGTTCTCTATCTAGAGGACACCGGACGTTTTGAGTTTCAGCAATGATTGAAGAGCAGACTAACTCGCATCAGCTGATTATCAATTCTATACACTTCATAAAGGAAGTCTCGCCGGATCTGGCTTAGAGGCCATCAATCCGCCGCAGGCGGTGGTGGTAAACCCCTACACAATACTGAAAAAAACAGAAACAAAACAAAAAAACACGAAAACTTGTAAATTTTGGGTGCATATTTGAACTCCGTCGATTTCGATGTTATTGGTATCTCCAGTGTTATAGATGGGCTTAAGATTTCATTATCTACGGGTGTTGACGAGATTAATTCAATATTTCTAAAAAAAAAAACACCAAAATGTATTTGTCGAACACGTATACTTCAGCTATTTTCCCACTGTCACTGGAAACAGGTATACAGTGCCGAATGACTAGAAGATCCGGAAGGTGGTTCCGTTGCACAAGTCAGGTGTCAAACATGATGTATGTAATTATCGTCCTATCTCATTAACAAGAATCCCATGGAAAATCTTATATCATCAGCTCTCATCTGACTTCCTTCTTAGAATCTAATAACTTTTTTACGTCACATAACACGGCTTCAGAAAATCATTCTCGTGTGAAACTCAACTCGTCTCCTTTAACCATGATCTTCATCGCTCTCTTGACTCTGGCTCTTACACTGACTGTGTTTTCTAGATTTTTCGAGGGCATTTGATAAAGCTTCTTATTCCCTACTGATTAAAAAACTCCGCACCTTGATAATTAACGCTCGCATACTCGATTGGATGAATCCCTTTTTAACTAATCGTCTACGATTTGTAAGTGTTAACAACAAGATTTCTTCTATGGTGTCTGTTCATTCAGGGGTGCCGCAGGGCTCCGTAATTGGGCCTTTACTGTTCCTTATTTATATTAAAGGGAAGACTTCTGCATTTGAGGAAAAACGCTTGAATTGCGTTCATTTAGCCTTTAGAATAACAGATATCACAATTATGTTTTAATGCGACCCGCCGGAGAGCCATACGATCAATTTCAAAATAGGGCTGAAGCTCCACCTCCTTAGCCTTGGGCAGCCAAAAGATCTGTCGATGACGTCACGTACAGCGACTGTCTTTCGCGTTTTTTCGCGTTTAGCAATACTTGCGCAGCAAATGGTTCGGGTATTCGGGTTCACGGGGTAAAAATACAATAGAATTCACTTCTAACTCATTTTTTTCAAGAAGCTCCGTAGCTTCCCTTTAACGATCTAGTATCTAACATTTCTTCATCAATCTGCTTTCTCGCTGATGATTCCTGGTGGCGGAGAAAAGCTCACCGCAAAACCGGCATATGAGGCGAAAAGCTCACCGGCCTTTGAGCGGATGCGGAGAAAAGCTCACCGATTTTTTTAATTTTTTCTTAGCTTAGCGGATTTTGCGTCACACGTGGCAATTTAACACAATTGAAATTCGCCACTTCATTAAAAACGATTGTTATTTTTTGTAATATTCTTGAAGTTGATTGGGCATATTTACTAATTCCTAAGAAATTAGTAATCACCCATTTTGTATATTAACTACGCCGCAAGTATAAAATCAGAACATCAGACACGCGTAAAAAATACAATTTATTGACAGCTGACAGTGCGCCGTCGGTAGCTCTGTCAGATAAAGAGGTTTGTTTTTTGCGAGCTAATATGCATAGCGGCGTGTGAACCGTTTCAGCTCCAAAGATTTTGTGGTGCCTGATTTTTGACGGTTTTCATCGTGTATAACGTTTACCAACTCGCACAGTTCGCTTCCTTACAGAAGACTATTTCTTATATAGGTCACGAGTAACTACGGTGCCAGTGTGCAGCTCTGAAGGTCATGGCTGTCTCGCCGTAGAAGGGCACCATCACACAAAGGCAACGTGTGGAAACACCAGCACAAACGGCTAGAAAACGTGCATTCCCGTGGAAGAAAGAAACCTCGATACCCTACTGACCGTTCCATTCTGTTTTCAAAGGTTAATAAGAGAATTTCAGACACCGCGTTGTTGCGCATGCACTTTCGGATTTTCGGCATTTACAGTTTTGCTTTTTAGGTTTACAGCAGGCATTTTTAAGTTTTCGAACTTGTTTTCTGTTCTTCAGGTTCAAAGTTTGCAGTTCTGCTTTCGTTGCCTAGAGAGTAAACAACAAAAAACATTCGCCCGCAATTATTAATTTGGGAGCAATATACCCAATACGCTTAACAAATATATTACGAAAAAAGCATCCACTTTCTTACAAAGGAGGCGATTTTTATTAAGATTTAACTGATATATGTTGCGCATGATCCAACCGCCTCCATACGAAGAGAAGAAAACAAAAATCGGTGAGCTTTTCTCCGCATACTCTAAATGGTCGGTGAGCTTTTCTCCTTATCCGCCGGTTTTGCGGTAAGCTTTTCTCCGGTGAGCTTTTTTCCGGGATTCGATGGTTCCGTTCTTTATATATCACAACATCACTGACCAATTTGATAATGCTCATCTTCAAACGGATCTTAACCACATAGCTCACTGTTGCGATGCTTGGCTGATGG